CCCTGGATGTTGGTAGATGAATAAGAAATGACTCTGAAATTGACTGTCAAATCCAATTTTTATGGTGGGCCACACCAAATATCCAGAACCAAACACTGTTTACCCTTGCAGGGATGCTCAAATACAGATCCACATATCATGGCTCAGGGCAATCACCAACCATCATGATTGGTTATTTATTCAAAGCAAAGTATGTGGTCATTGTATTAGAGGTATTGGGGAATGTAATTGCTAGTATGTTCAAGCAGCTACAGAAAAAGCTTGTTAATTATTATCTCTTGAGATATATTTCCATAATGCTAAACGCCTTTTCCTAGCTTTAGCTGTAGGAACTCCCCTTGATGTAAGAGGGCAATATGAAGGCTGGGTGTCAAGGAGAAGGAGAACAAATATAGAAGAGATTTCAGAAATTAATGTGGATCTGCCTGAATTATTGCAGTATGCTACAAGGCTGCACAGTATATGTGAAACCCAGCCTTTGCAGAAACATTGTCAAGTACTGTCTCCTCAGCCTGATTACTCATCACTTTCTCCTGGGAACTTGAACCTATACATTAAACTTCATTCCCTATCAATTTTGTCCTATTCCCACTTGGCAAAACTTGGTTTCTCTCCTGGGCTTTTAACAGATCTGAAGCAAATCCTACTTGTTTGTAAATCCAACAATGTTAGCTTCTTGCTCAAGACACTCCCTGTTTTGATGGGCAAAAAGGTATGTTTTCCAGTTTTAGAGTTAGCTTAACACTGTGGGATACCCCTCTTATGCTCAGTGGGAGAAGCTTAACTGGTAAAAACAAAATGTATACCAAAATAGATCTACCCTAGAAAGGAGGAGTAGCCAGTATGGATCCAGTTACTGGCGAATACTCTCTGCAGAGGGTATTACAGCAAGTGCATGGAGCCAGGCAGGATAACAATGTTGTGCCAACCTGAAAAGCAACTGTCAGTCATTCCAGGAGGAGGGAGGATGTGGCCAGATAGACTATGCTCTTGCTGTTGTCAGCTGCCAGGATGGAAGTCAGAGTATCCAGGAAGCTTCTTTACCTCTACCAGGGGCTGGGATGAGAAGAAATGGGAAACATAAGCACAGCATAAAGCCACCTTTGCCATCCCTGTCAGTTTCTGGGCTGAGAGAATCTTGACTAAAAGAGATCATTGGGCCCCAGATTTGTAAGCAGTACAAATCTGGTTCCAGATCTAGTGTTTGTCATCTGAAATGTCTCTAGGCCCCGATCACATGCTGTACAAAGACTGTGCAGGATCAGTGCTCCAGGAGGCTGTTTGCATCAATGGAGTTATTTGCATTAGGGGCACCAGTCATTATACTAGGTGATGTACAAACATAGAATGAAAAGCTGGTTCCCCATCCCTAAAAGCATTTGATCTAAGAATAAGACCAAACAACACATGAATACAGACAGACTGAGGTGGGGAGTACAAGAAAACAGTGAGACAGACTGGATTGGAATGGTGGGCTGGGGTCTCAGCACTAGCTGTGGCTGAGCTTTTGTACCTGTCATTGAAAAAGGGCCATTTTGAGAAGTTTACTGGAGAATACTGGGCTGAATTTGCAGGTGGTAGTGGAGAGCCCCTCCCCCCAAGTGTAAGGGGCAATGTGGATGCTACCACTAAGGGGCTTGTTTGAAAATTTAGCAGATAGACAATGGAGGTTGGTATCGTGAACTGACTAGGGGGCAGGAGTTCTTCTTTTAGTACTGAATTAGAGATGTAGGAGCATGGGGATAAGCCACGAAGAGACTTGAAAGTGAAGACATGTAGCTTATGTTTCATGCAACAGAGAAGAAAGAACTGATGGAGAGATGCACAGAAAGGTGGAGGCAGGTGGATCTTTGCCACAGACTTCCGGATGGATATCTAGAGGGTAAGACTATATTGGTTAAGGCCAGAAAAAAAGGATGTATCAGTAAGTGAGATGAGAGCTTGGGCACGAGTTTTTAGCTGAATGCAGAGACAGGAGAGGGTATATCTTAGAGCTGGTATGTAGAAAGAATTGGTGAGACTTAGAGATAACCTGGATGTGATGACCACTTGTTGAGCTCAATTTTCCACATGCTGAAAAGTGAGTGCAAGGTGGGAGTAAACTATCAAGTCAGAACGCTAGCACCTACACTCACATATCTAGGCCTAAAATATTCCATGGAGTGCCAGACTGAGGAGAATCAAGCCTCTGTATTCATTATACATCAGTCATATTTCCATTGAAGTTAATGGCAAAATTTCCAGTTTCCCTGAGAGAGTTGGTTTTGAATTTAAGCTTTACCTGTATGGGGCCCAGAAACTATATATAATCTAGCAGTGTCAAAGGGATGGAGTGGCTTTTGGGGAGTTCCCCCAGTGCATTTGCATAAAACTGATGTAGGAAGCTATATACTGCCTCCTGTGCAGCCCAAGGGGAGAGGTGGCTGTGGGCACGTTGGGGCAAAGGTGAGAATGAAGGGTTATGACTATTTTGAGCTGCCCAGAAGGAAGGTGGTCTTAGTAAAGCAATGTCTGCACCCCTCCAGCCCAGCCCGAGTCACCAGTGCTGTGTTTTGTGCCCATAGTTAGTAATCAGCTCTTGATAAGAGACAGACTTTTCATTACAGGGCAGGTGAGAACTAGGATCATTTAGTCCGTTGGATAATAAATTTTGCTGCAAAATGAGGTGAGGGTGGTAGGGGAGGGATTGGAGATGGTCACAAAATCTTGGAATTTGGCAAATAGTTTCAGCTGAAATAATATGGGGGACTTAAAAGAGGTCAAAACAATGTGCAGACATTTTGAAAAGGGAATGTTGCATTTTGGAAATGCCTGAATGAAACATTTTGTTTAATTTTTGCCTCTTCGTGGCAAACTGGTATTTTTCATTGACGTAAAAAAGGACCTGAATTTTAAAAAAGGTCAAAAATGTGTTGGGGGAGGATGGGGAAAGGTTAAGTAATCAGAAAATAAAATAAAAGATTGTTGTTTGGGAGCTGAATGAAACATTTGGACTGGCCCCTAACACTTTTTCTTGTTCTTTGTTTTGTCAAAAAACATTTAAAAGTCTGTTTCACTTCAAACTGAATTGTTTTTTCTCCAACTTTTTTGTTTTCGGCAACAGAAAAGTCATTTATTCTCTCAGCTCTAGTCCTGTCCAATCCTTAAATCTAATGGCACGAACAAGGAGTATAGTTTAATCTGAGGTCAACCACACTTTGCTGTGATTCAAAGTGAAACCTGTGGTATCAAATGAATAAGAGCTGCAGGATTTTTAGATAACTGGCAGCTTCTCCGGAAGGTAGACTACATAGGCCCATTTAGAAAAATAACCTAAACTCACAGGGCCTCAAAATCTGATCTGGAAATCTTCAAGACAACTTGAGTTTGTACACAGCTGAATGGCAGACTTTCACTCTTCTAGACATTCACACTAGTCTCATTCAACTGATTCATTAAAAGGAAACTGGCAGCCAACAAGCTAATGCTTCACAAAATACAAAAGAGTGTGCAGGATCCCACACATTTGCTGGATGATGAAGCTTCACAGAGCTCTCTAGTCAAAGCTGTCCTTTCTGCTTTGCTTTTACAAAGTGGGGCAATTTAAAGGGTGGTAGCATGTGACAGTGATAGGGTAGACAGGATGAGACATTTTTACCACGGCACCATCTAACAGCTCTGAACATCCTGATAGAACATCAGAGAGAGAGAGATTATATCTGTCATAATACCTTGTAGGTAGGCTACAGCTTTGGACAAAAGTCTTAAAACAGCAGCTGAGAACAGTAGAGTGAAACAGTGTTTGGGCTGTGCTCACCAATTCTTTGGGCTGTGCCCACTGACCTGCACTTTCTTTCTGCCTGTGGCAGGAGGGATTGGAGCGGTAGAAAAATTTTGCCAGGTCTTTGCTACTGTCTTAAGTGGGGTGGTGGAGAGGTTACCCATGCAACTGTCCAACTTGCTTTATGGCTTCTTACACCAATGGTTCCACAGTGGTGGAACCAAGGGCTCCAGTGGAACCAAGAATCAAGGCCAGTGTCTTCCAAGCTGCTTGGTTCTGCCCAGGGGCAGCTGTGAAGCTCCCTTGTCAACAGCTGTACTACTGAAATATTTGCCAACCCCATGCCCATTCAGAAACATGAATCAGAAACCAAAATTGCAAAGACCCTGGATTTTTTTTCTTTAACCTTGGCTTCATTTTATTTATTTTCTAGACTTAAAACCTTTAATTTGCAGTTTGGTTATGTTTCAGCCTTTGCCTGCAACCAGGAAGGCTAGCATCGTATGTATTTAGGTGAGAAACTTAACCAGTCACTTGCCTCCAAGAGCCAGGGCTTTAGGTAGAACGCTGAATATCACAATGAGGCATGCAATAAAATTACAAGAGCTGGCAATACTGCAATTAATGGCCTCTTCCTCTCACAGGAATTCTACTAAATGGACTGAGAGGCCAAAAAAGAGTGCGCATCTACTAAGTGGAATCTGTTGATTGTAATTAACATGAAGGAATCAAATCTTCCCTTCTTGCCAAAAAAGCTCAGACCTCATGTATAAGTCCTTTAGAGGCAGGATCAGCTTAATTTACAGCTCTCTGAAATTTAGAAAACAGTACCTCCCAGATGAAATATGGAGAATAGACACACAAATAAAGATAACAGAGGTAACAGGAGAGCTCACATCTGATACATTGCAGACCCAAGCCTATGTCATTTTCTAGTTGATTCTTCTATAAAACGTTAAAAAGAGAAATCATGCCTTATACTGATAAAGGTGCATTGTGAGCCCTTTGATGCCAGCAGCAGCCAGGAGATGGGAAAAAAACTTTGATTATATTAATCCTAAAACAGGAAACCAGTGCAGACTTCTGGCTAATATATTTTTTCATTGCAGATTGCAAGATTTTAGCAGAGGTCTTGACTTTAGCAGATATCTTGACAATACTGAAAATAAAGAAGCAGGATTATCTAAACACCTTACAACTAACTACCTTATAATTGAATTCTACCAAGGCATTGGACTGATTACAATGGCTGTATTTTCTACCTGTACTAAATGAGTTGGATGCAGACCTAATCTGGGCAAATAGATTGAAATCCTCTAAGGTTGGCTTCTTGTATTGAAATACTGTACCATTTACGTGTTTCATTAGTAACTGATGGGCATACATCCTGCCTGCTAAGGACAGGGATATTGTTTCTTCTTTGTTTTTTCAGTATCTTTTCAGAGCCACTGGAAATGTTTAATTATAATAATCCCCAAATTAAAGATATCAGCATTGGGTGTATCTAATTTAAAATCAATGGGCAGCTTCTGTTATGCACCATCTGTTATACTGACTTCAGGGAAGTTGCACTAGTGTAACCAGGAGCGAAATTATGAGGAACTGTATACTACATCAGATGGTGTTTTGGCAATCATCTGCACACTGGCAAATTAGCACTGCCTGCGGTAGACCTAATATACAGTGTTAGAACATTTCTAGGATACAAAAATAGCTGAGGAAAGCAAGTTTACAGGATAGTATCAGAAAGCAGAGTTGCATCAGTGATATTTTCCATTTACCCTATGAAATGAAGTAACTTGGGAATGAAAGTCCAAGCCAGTTTAAACAGCGTAGCCAGCTGTATCATAACACACATTATAAAACACATACTGCATGTTATTAGTAAGTGTCAGCATTTATTGAACAGAAAGGGGATCTCGGAAACAAACGCTGGCCCAAGAAATACTAACAATGTGATAGCACTTAACAACTTAAAGGACTGTACAAGCATTACCCATTTGGAATAATAGCCCTGAAATTACAATACTTCTGAAAAAACCTGGTAATCCCTTCAAACACTTAAATACTAGTTTTTGTACCCAACAGCCAGAAGTTAGACACACAGTCTTGCACATATACCAGTAAACTGGTGTTCATGTAGGGTGCGGGAAACTCCCAGGCGTACTTTTTGGCCAATTCTTCTCCTGAGAGCATGTGCAATTTCTGTTGACCTCAATGAAACAAACGCACATAACCTCTAATTACGATATTTGGTCTGTGCTATTGTCTTAGCAATTTTTTTCTGCCACTAAGAGTAGCTAATCCAGAGGAATACAGACTGCAAGGTCCCCTAGCTGGCTCCCCTGGTTTATTGGAACCCAGGTATTTGGGGAGAGCAACTGTGATTACAGAACATTGTTTCACTTAATTTTGAAATGCTGCAATGATGCTGGGTCAAACTTATCTCCGATGTAGCTCTGTAGAGACCAGTGAACTTGTACCAGGGATGAATGGTATGAAAACAGAGGGAAAGGTGGGATGTTCACGACAGGGTTCAATGGAAACAAGAAATGACTCCATGTAGTGCACCCCTATGCTGCAAGCTCTGTGCTAGTGGTTTCTCAACCTTTCTGGAATCAAGGCACCCCTCCATAACTTTTGTGAATGGAGTGGTACCCAGTTTCAAAAATGGATTCATATATTACAATCTTTACCTCCTTACAGAGGGGCTAGGCAGTTGGGGGTAAGGTTTGGTCAGGCAGGGACAAGCCTGAGCGTGCACTTGTCTGCTTATCTCTTCACACAATTCACACATCTCCAGGATCTAGTATCATCCCAGGGTCTCTGGTACTCTGGCTGAGAATCACTGTTTCATGTACTTAGCTGTGGAATATCCTGGAAATTGAAAAGCAAAAGATAATATCATTAGCCAAGGAAGGCAAAAATAACAACAGAATTAAAATATCTTTAATTCTTATTTGTTGGGAATGAAGGAACAGCCTCCAGCTACCTCTTGTACAGCGTTTAACTGATATAAATTCCCACTACATAATTTTCTATTTTATACATAATCAGAAGCCATTTCAAGGATTTAGGCAAGATCCCAGACATTAGTTCTGTCCTCATGGAAGAATTCCTTGGAAGTTAGCCTCTGAAAAAGTTTTGACTCAGAGCATGTATACAGATGGCTAAATTGCTATTTGTATTTGCTGACTGACTTTATAGGGCCTAATCCTGAGGTCCTTCTGTAGTCTAATCTCCCACTGATTTCAGTGGATGTTTTGACAGAATAGAGACTCTAAAGTTTGGTCCAGATAAGGTAAATGAGGACTGATGGCTCGTTTGAAAAGAACAGATTTTCCCACATCCAAGAATGGAGAGATGTCAATATCACAAAATCTACCACCACAACTAACACATTTGGAGTGCTGTTCAACAGACGCACCCCAGAAAGGCTCAGGGCACAGTGGGTCATGATGACTGATCTTTCCTTTTATTCTCAGAGTATGACTTCAGTTTAGGGATGGGACAACAGGCCACACTGTCCTGGGTGTCAGCATACAGAGAAGAGCTCAGACTTTAGGGCTGGCAATCTGACACCTTTCAAGATTACTTTTTTAGAACAAAAGAAAAACTGTTCATCACAACTATTTCTGGCCATTCCAGCACAAAGTTAGAATTTAGCGTTCTTTTCCCTCTTTTTCTTAACACAACTGCTGAGCTCTCCTGTAGAACAGAAAGTAGATTGAGAAGCTGTTTGAGTAACCAGTATTGTCAAGTCAATGAAAAAACTATTTGAGATCATTTTGTCAAACTGCAGCCTGCTATTTTGCAATTTCTGTAGTTTCTCTTCTGAGATGGGACGTTGCTTTTCACTTCCAAGGAAGGCTGTGTCTTCCACTGCCCCTGTAATGAAACAGCTTTTCTTATGGACTGTTTATATGATATATGCTTTTGTCCTGATGCAAATATCACTGAAGGCAATAGGAGTCGTCTCATTTGCTCTTCCCTAGAAAAACTCCCATTGCCTTCTACAGACCTTGGATCAGGCCTCACAGCAACTCACCACTGCAGAAGACCAAGCTCAGGTAATTTGCAGCACTTCCCATGCCAATTTATATAATGAAGATAGGAATATTGAAGCTGATTTTGCTGGACCCTAAGGGCATGTCCCCACGAGCGTGCACATGCAGGGGTCTGCGTTTCCCTCAGGACAAATAACAGTGGCACATATTTGTGCCATTGCTACTTGTCCCCAGGTGTTCCCCTGCACATGCCCTCTGGCTCGTGGCAAATAGACCTGGGTGGGGTAGGGGAGGCTGGGGCCAGTACCTGTCCCAGCAGCCTTACCTGGGGTTCTGGTTGCCTCCCAGGGCAGCAGCAACGGCAGTCTGGCTGCTTGTAGCTTAGCCAGCAGGCAGAGCATGGCTCTGGCTAGCCAGACTCTAGTTTTTGATGGCGCACGCTGCTGCCATGTGTGCTGCCCTGGTGTTGTTTTTAGCAGCAGGGGGCGGGGGGTTGACACTGGGATCTCCTGGTGTCATGATGCAGTATGGTCTTCTGTCTTGTGAGGAAAGTATAGTATAGGGAATGAAGACAGCAGATAGAGCTTCCAAAGGGCATCATGAAACTAAAAGCATATTGCTTTTTAGATGTGTCCCCCCTGCTCCTCCCAGCCCCCTCCCCAGCCTTTTCTGTGGAAAATAGGCACTTTACACAAAAAATGAAATAGCTGTAAACCTGATTTTCTGTCCAAAAGAAGTTTTAGTGGAAAAAATTTGACCAGCTGTTGTTGCCCCTTTTTGCCCAAAAGACTCTGGCTTTGTCTCAGTATTATTATGACATAATATGAGGATAGTGTCGTATGAAACTAGCACTGCTCAGTACCACTGTAACTTAAAATCATGTTAGAAGTCCCCATTGATGTCAATGGAAGCAGAATCTATATTAACTTTGATGTAAGCCCAAACTACTGTGAAGTGTATCATGAGGAGATAATTCTGCCGTGCCCCAAATCATTCTAATATTTTTTTCAGCACAGACCAACATGTGATGATCCCACAGTATTAAGCATTAGGGGATGCCCTGCATTGAAAAAAGGATGTTGAGACACATCCCACATTACACATTAAAGCTACTTCTGTGCTGAGTTACTAAGAAGAATGACATAGTGCCTAAACCTTTGAGTTTTCCTCAGTTCACAGTATAGCATTACAATGGGCCCTGCATGATGATTGTCTATTGGCCCCAGACCATAAACCTGATTGCAGCTGAATATGGCACATTTATATAACTCTCCACAGTACCTGGAGATAGTAGAAATACAAGAGATTTTTAATAGGTGACATGGGTAGTAAATGCTAATAGGCCTCTAACTTGTTGGTTGTGGCACTACATAGGGAGTCAGGGGAGGATGGGGAAACCTGCAGTGGGAGAAATGAAGCAGATCTGGGAGGAGATGTATCAATGCTAGATGGAAAAGAAGTCCACTAGAAGGGGCAAGTGGGAGGGGCAGGGGCAGGGGCAGAGCAGGTGCAAGAGGAATCCTTGGGGGTGGCAGGAAGAAGAGGAAAGTAACAGGGGCTAGAGACAGAAATTACACATACACTGGTATAAGTGATCAGAAACTGGTTCAAATATGTAACACAGCTGAAGTCCAGTGCACATAAACCACATTCAAAATGACCCAAACCGGTTTAAGATAAACCTGGATGGATGTAAGATAAACCTGTACTGGATGTACAGTTAAGTATCAGACTGAACTGATTTGGGTTAAATTTGTTTATTGAACTTCTGTCCCAGATCCCCTCTAGGTGCAAGTTAACTCTCAGTCCCCCAGCATCCCAGGATGCTTTGTACCTCCTCCACAAAGCTGCCTCACAGGATGGGTGGGCTAGCCTTGGTCCAAACTGTCTGCTCCAGCTGAGCAGGAGTGTGTGCTTTAGTGCTCTCTGGTTCTGGCCTGGGCCACTGCAGGCATGTGGCTGCATTTCCAGAATCAAAAGTGAATGTCTGTTCACTTGCTTATTGGTTCAACTTACACAGCTTAAACTAACCTGCAAAGATTGAATTTATTTAGCCTTGGGCTTTTTGACTGTCTGTACTTAGCCAGGGTGACCTGTTAAGCCATTTTGGAATTTACTTATTTATGTTGAGAGTCCTATGACTCCTGGCTGCAGCTCCTCCCTTTCGAGAGGCTAGAACATCTCTGTTGTGGAAGTTCTGTAGAGAATCCTTAACATGTTCTCCCTGAAACTCCAGGGATGGGAAGATACATGGCGGGGAGGAAGGGATTGGGGTGGGGGGTGAGAGAGAGAGAGAGAATATCCGGCTATGGAGGGCAGTGACTAATCAGGTTAGTGGCTATGAGGACAATGAGTAAGTGGGTGGATGACTGAGAGCAGCAGGTGGGCGTACTGCTGTGCAGAGCAGTGAGGGAGCTGACGTATAGGTTTGTGGGGGGTGTACGTGAGTGAGTTGGTGGTGCTTAGGTGAGTAGTTGGGGCGGGAGGGGAAGTGAGTTGGTGCCGTGGGTCGTATGCGAGAACAGGCAGGCGAGCTCAGTCAATGCACATGTGTGTGGTTGGGCCTAGTGAGTGCGTGGGTGTATATATGTATGTATGTGTGGTGCTTTTGTGCTAGTGTGCGAGTGTTGGGTGTGGGCAGGCAGCAGGTGGGGGGAGCAAGGGGAATGCAAGCAAAGGGAGTGAAGGAGGAAGGAACAGCTTTGAAGGGCAAACTGGGGGTGGGGGAAATGAGGGGAAGGACATGGGAGTGAAAGCAAAACCTAATTCAGGGGCAGAAAGGGAGGAAGTGGGAGAAGAAATTCAGCTGGAGGCAGTGGAAAAACTGTGTGTGGGGGAGGGGAGGGAGAGCAACAGAGTCTAAGATGGTGGGATTTTAAAACTGCTTTAAGGATGCCTGATAGCAGATTGTTAAAATAAATGCAAACAAGGGACCCTGGATACTCCATGCTCACAGGGAAACCACTCTTCAAAGCTAACTGTATGAACACCCCTAGTCTCTGCCTACAGGCGGCAGAGGTCTGCACACAAATCCCGGCTTTTGCATGTGTGGCGGTTAGTTGCATAAATGGCCACCCACGCATGTGTATTCCAGCTTCAGCATACACTCGTCTGAGGTTTGTCTGCACCAGCTCAGCCTATGCAAATTCAGGGGCACCTCTAACTGTGAAAAACTGGCCTGTCTCTTGTGAGCAAGGCTTTGTGATTTCACCTCATTCCCCTCAGCTTATCAGTATGTGTGTTTTTGACTTTGTAAATCATAGAGCAGTAGGGCTGGAAGGGACCTCAAGAAGTCATCTAATCCAGCCCCCTGCCTGAGGCAGGATCATTCCTATCAGTGGTTCTGATGCAGGTTGTGCTACCAATCTGGAGGCTGCTAGCCCACTCCTGAGTCAGTAGGAAAATCCTGCAAACCAGAGGGTTTTAGCCCAACTTCCCCCTACCTTTCCATCCATGCAGAAATCTTTTACTTGGGTTTGGAGGTGCTTTTACCACAGGCTGTCTGGCTAGAGGTTTGGGGGTGTTCATTGAACCCTGGGCTCTTTAACTTGGACTGGAATCTGCCCGCCTTACAGTTAGGATGTAGGTTATGTCACTTGAGCACAGGTATTCCTCTAGTCACTGCCTTCCCTTAGTTCCCCCCTAAGGGACAGAAAACTCTTCTGCATCTGATACAGCTGATTGGGAAGGAATGATGCAGTGTCTCAGCATAAAAAACAATGAACCAGTGCTCCCTCAAGCATGTGTGAGCAAGCGCAGAACCAGGGAGGGGAACAATAAGGTGGGTCTGCAGTGAGGATGCTCACAGCCTGGCTAGTCAAAGTAGGGTGCTGAGAACATCGTTCCAAATTAGGCTGACCCTGCCAAAAAGATGTGCCTTCCCAGTCCAGCTTTGGAAGAGAAGTCAGCTGCTTCCCATGTGCACCAGCTAGTCTGCCTCTTTGCAGCTTTGTTCTGATTTCCCTTAGCCCAGGCCAGCTCCCGACCAATCTGCTCATCTTTACCATTCGTTCCTCTATTCCTTTGCTCGCTGGGCTCTTATCTTTAAAACTGTCCCTGCAAATGTGATGCCATCAACACATGTTATTAAAATCCTTGTTGAGTCTGTCTGAGCCTGTTCCTCATTTATTGACATTCTGTGGCACCGTGAGAGGTGCTCGCTTTATGAGAAGCTCTTGCTTTATGAGAAGCTTGATTCAGAACTTAATTCAGCCTTTCCCATTAACTTGAGAAAAAATGAAATGCCTCTGTAGGGCAAGTGGCAATTTTTTCATTGTGGTAGGAGATTTGAAAGTCTCCCATGCTCCTGGAGCTTTGTTGAACTTTCATCACTTACTATTTAAGTGGAAGATAATTACTTTCAAATCTAGTGACCATGACGCTGCCAAGCAGATGCAATGCCTGGGTTTGGATAGTGCATCTTTTGTTTAGTGCTTTTCCTAAGCTATTGTGTTCTTTCAGTATTCATTTCTGGGCCTTTGATAGTAGTTAGAAAAATTAACATGAAGTCTTACATTCTCCATGTTTATTCCCTCTCTGTGATTTCACATGAGAGATGGTGACAAGTCACAAAAGGATTTCTAACTACTAGAGTTTGCAAACTCCACCTTGGATCATGGGTTGAGAAATGAAGGCACATCAGCAGGCATCAGCTGACAGTTTTGAAGAGTTATTCAAGATGGGGTGCTTATACTCCTGAGGGTAAATGGTGTACTTCTAGAGCGTATATGGGAGGAAGGAGTGGAAAAGGGAAAGGGGAAATATACATGGTGGGAAAGAAAGATAAAGGAAATGTGAAGAAAACTCTACAATATGTCTTAAGTTGTTGGAGAGGTTATAGTGTGGTTGCAGCGATATAGTACATTTTATTGTCCATAACATTAATTGTAGGGGTACACAGCAGTGCAACAGACTTAAAAAAAGGATATGCAAACCAGTGCAGAGGGCTGTCAAGAGTCCAGCTTGTGATAGAGATGTGCATGGCTGACTATAAAGCCATTTAACTGCATAACTCAGTAGAGGCAGTACACCATGGCTGAGGGGACTTAGTTCTCTATTGCTCT